GCTTCACAGCTCACCACCAAGCCTCCACCCTACTGCACCATTACAAACTTTACCTGCTCATAAGTTGCTTGTGACAGGTTGCAGTTTTGCTATCTATATTTGTAAATAACCTTATAGACTCTATCGATCTACCCAGGTCTCCATTCAAAGTTCCATGGTAAGTTGGCGGACTTCCCTGGTTAGTATCGGGTAATTAAACTAACAGAATAATAACGCAGCAACGCAATGATGAAGAGGATAAACACAAATCTTCAGTTAGGGGAAATATTGGAATGAGAATCAAATCCACAAAGTAGTGAGAGATCTAAAGTGAGAAATGTCATAAGGTGGATACGAAGGCATGTGCAGCTCACATGACTTAATAATCTACATGACACAATTCGCATCGCATCATCGCTCAAAGAGAGACGATGCTCAAGTGGAACTTGAGCGGTTGAAACATTGCTATATCGTGACGTTTGTAGATCCAATAGAGCATGCGATGAACCGTTTAACTGCTCCCGTCATTTATACCGCATTTTGGCGCATTTATGAGCAGTTGATTATCTGCGATCCAAGCTTTTCCACGCTCAAAATATTCCTGGTTTTCTAATGAGTACTGTGGCACTCACTGGCACTGAGTTCACACGTCTTCCGAACGAGTGACCGAATTCTTCCCTGTCCGAGACACACCAAGTTGCAGGGTAAATGTGAACGTTCAAGGCCATAGGAGGTCACAAATGGGTTATGAGGTCCAATTCGTGTCTTACATTGTAAAAAAACGAAGGCCGTTCAAAACAACAAAGGCAGAGCAGGCCTGTTCCGAGTCCGCCCACATGAGTGGCGTGAGCTGTGCCTTTACTGCCTTTCCCGAGCTCGTAATATCACTGCTACTACGGCGCTGAGAATTCAGGAATTCTTCAAGGAGGAGCACCAAGTATAGTAATCGAACAGATTTTTAGGATTGTTGTACTGTGCGTTCGCTTGATGATGGTGAGTATGGCGTGACACTGTGCAGACAGCAGAACAGCAGAACATAGCAGTGGGACTTAACGGACTGGGCACATAATTAG